AGTTGACAATTTTGAAACGGAGCCTTTCTTATTACCTCTATAAACGGCTGAAGGTTATAATCTGTGTTATACTTATGAGATCTCATAAGGTATAACACAGATTATTTGGCCTTAGTACTATAGAGATTTCTATTATTTTTCTGTGCATGAATGGCTATATCCATATCAAAAGTATTTGAGGGCTACACATACACCAAGGGCCATTAACATGGCATGCACGAACCCTTGGAACTTCACAATTGATTAAACAATCATTATTTTTTAAAATAAAAATGATGAGTTCACAAGATCACCGGTTATTGTGTGATTTTAATGTTCTTGCCTAAACTCTAATAAGATTTTGAGTGAGTATGCCTCACAAGTTAAAAAAAAACTTCAATATTTTATTTTGCCTGCTTACAGTGGCTTCATGGAACATCTATCCATCTTTAGATTTTGTGATTTATAAAACAAGTTGTGTAAACCTTCTAACAATTTGTAGCTTGTTTAGTAAATCATGGTTATGTAAAACAAAGCTTCATAAAATTTACCAATCCAGCTGTTATATCTTAGTGGTCTATTGAGGCTTTTTCGTTCCCCTTTCCTCTTTTTTGCTTCAATATTTCCATACTTTACTCTGCATGCAGTTTAGAAAATGTTCCAGCATATAATCATGTGCCAGAATGAAAAGGACTTTCTAATGCTGTATACATAATTTAGGAGATACTGCAGCTAATGGATTAAGAGACTATTTTCAAATGGAATTCTTCACTGCTTTGGCCATGAAGAAGAAATCTGAGCTGCAGAAATGGCATAAAGCTACTAAATTAATGAATAGAAGGAGCATATTCTGGAGGACATTAATTTCAGGTACTCTTTCCTGGGGTGAGTTGCTATTTTAATCAAAGGAGTGATATAAGGCAGGGAAGAGAATGTGAGGAGGATAAAAGCTGTTAAATTGATGCTGATATGGAAGGATGTGTAGGATAATTCATTCCATGGATTCAAGCCACATCACTAAAACAAGTGGGAAGTCCAAGCTAAGAACCAACACAACTAACATAACCAACACACATTACCTCTGAGAAGTCTGCAGGAGAGAGAATCCAACCAAATCAGTGTTAGCCAAACCAGTCTTGAACCACCATGAGAAGACACCTCATCATTCATACCCTTTGTGTTTTCCTGGGGACTATTACAAAAACAAAAGATATCCATTCATTTCCTTCAAGTATTCTGTGGGAACGTGTGAAAAAACTAATGCTCCATCTCCTGGGTCTCCCATTCACTTCTCAAGCCACCAAACCGGAACCCTAGAGAAGAGGAAAAAGTAAGCAGCCATTCAAAGAACATGTTGTAGAAAAGGGACATTTCGTCAGACTTCATAACTAAAAACGAGGCTATTGAACATGCTTAGGAACATCTTTAACTGCCAGGAACCATGATATTCATTGAACATCATGAATTCCAAAGAAACTGAGAAAACCTAGAGAAATGGAAGGCTTTTATGTTCCAAAGGTGGTTTGGGGTTTCATCTCTTCCTTCTTGCAGAGCAAATTTGGGTGTGTCTTTCCCTTTCTGTGTCTCCCTGCAACACATTGATCTGGAAGCAAATTCACCATTTTCAGCAACTTCCTTTCAATTGTAATCGCGACTTTGAATGATTTTCTAAATAGAAATCACACAGCTTTTTGTTTTGTGAAGGAAGCTACACAATATGTAATCTTCAAACATTTGACAGTAGGCCACCCAATCTTTTCCGCTGGGTGTCTGTAATGAGCTGAAACAAAGGCAATAAAAAAATCAATGAAAATGAAGAGGTTTTAAGTGGCAGTGTTGTCATCAGCTGCCAAAAAGCTGAATCACATATTAACACAATTTCCTTTTCTGGAATAGCCTAATGTTTTGCACATCAGTGTTCAAAAAGAAAAAAAAAAGAGTCTTGGAAACAGACAAACAAAAAGAATTATAAGAACAGAAATGTTGACATATATTTTTATTAAATATCCCTTTGTCTTTGAGGATTTATATATATAAATAACTTTATAACTTTATGCATGATAGACTTGTGAGGCCGGCGCACTGTGCAATTAGCTCACATGGTGTAATAAGTTGGTGGGTTTGTAGTCACTGTGAGTTGTGGTGGTGGTGGGGGCACAGAGGGAGGCTCAGCCAATCTCATTGTATACATGTTGTACTTTGATAATAAAGGTTCATTCATTCATTCATGCCCAATAATCTTCAGTCTAGCTAGGCATGATTAGAATAATATAGATATTTGGAGAATCCTATTTTTGCAAATATATGAACACAACTCTGTTTCCTAGGCCAGTATAGAAATCATAACCTTATTATCCATGGTTTTCATATTTCCCAGTTATATATTCTAAGAGTAGACATGTTTCAAACTATGTTCTGAAAATATGAATTTAAATGTGTTTTGGGGTAAATATACATTAATGTAGAATTAGGAACATGCTCTGGACTGGAAATAAGTCTCATTGGGCCATGTCTACACAGAATCTGGGAAAGGAAATTTTGGAAACCACTTACAGTATATTTTGTATTGATGAAATACAATACAAAATAGGAAAGTATTAAAGATGAATATGTATTGTTTGGGAATGATGTGTTGCATTGGTGAAGATCTCTGAGCTTGGTTTTTGGATTTCTTTAACTTCCTATGTTAATAGTTAGGAATATCAATTCAGTAATTTTGAAGAAGCATAGATTATTGTTGGCAGGAATTTTGTATTCTTTTGTCTTTCCTGGTTTGTACATGCTTGGAAAAATGGTCCTGTTTTGCAAATCATTAATGCTTTGTTGATGATAGGCAATTTATTTGGCTAATAAGTCTGTGGTTCTTTTTTAGTTATGTCATGGGTGCTTCCTGTTTCTTTAGTGATATTGATATTGTAGTGATGCAATATAGGAGGGTGTTGTTCTTTTCCTCTCATTGTTGACTCTGTAGTTGAGTTTGGGTTATTACATTAATAAAGAGATGGCTTTAGTTCATCTAGGTGTTGTCTGATTCTTGAATAATGGAGGACATACAGTGGTGGGATTCAAATATGTGAACAACCAGTTCTCTGTGTGGATGCCACTTCTGGAAGACCATTCTGGGCCTGGGCAACAAAAAACTAGCTACCGGTATGAACCAGTTGAATCTCATCACTGAGGACATGTTATTTTGTGTTCAGCTGATGCCTAATTCTAAGATAACTGGTTATGTCTTTTGAAAGCCATAATCAGGGATAAAAAAAATATGCTTAGCTTGCTGAATGCCTGTCAACTGCATTTAACATGCTGTTCAATTTCCTTTATTGTATCACATGTAATTTTCAAGGAAAACGTCCTGCATGCCTGAAGAGAAAAGTTTTCAATCAGTGTGTGCTACCTGCTCTAACATATGCCGCTGAAACATGGACTCTAACCTCACAATCGATACAAAAGCTACAAGTGGCGCAAAGAGCCATGGAAAGATACATGCTCGGCATCACAAGACACGTTAGAAAGAGCTGCACATGGATTAGAGAACAAACAAAAGTATACAATATCATCAAGAGAGTAAAAGAATTGAATTGGAAATGGGCTGGTCACATAGCAAGAACTATTGGCAGGTGGACTAAGGCAGTCATAGAATGTATTCCATTTGATAAAAAATGACCTAAAACAAAGGAGACCTAAAACAAGATGGATCAACAACATTAGCAAGTATTGTGTGCCCAATTGGCAAAAGAAAGCTCAAAACCATATTGGTCGGAAACATGTGGAACCCCAGAGTGGATAGACAATGGCTAGAATGAAATGAAATCAGGGATAAGTCAATATATCTATTAATGATTACTTGTTTGGACTGCCATGTTTCTAACAAGCTGAATATAAATTTTGTGTGTATTTGTATGCAGATATACATTTAAATATGGGGATGTGTCTAAAAAGAAGCACTATTTCTGTATGTTAAATAGGCAAAAAAAAGTTTATTTATTCTATTTGTATATGGTCAAATGAGTAAAGTTTCACAGAGTTGCCAAAACATCTAGTTGTACTGTCAAAGTTGACCCTTGGTTGCAAAAAGGCTAAACACATTGGTCTGTTACACTATAGATTTCTGGAAAAAGCTACAATTAGAATAAAACCAATGTAAATACAGTCCAGTTCCCTAAAAGACTGAAAATCAATAATTTTAATCCAGTGCAGAGATAATCAACAGGTATAAGTGCAGAGATAAGCAATAGATATAACTACAATATTTAGAATACAAGAAAGGACAACATGAAGTGTTTTGGCTTCCTCCATTTTTTCATCATCGTCTACTCTAATGCAAAAGTAATGTTTTTTTTTTACATTATATTTCTATGTAAAAGGAAATTTTTACAGGATGTAGCAGCTCTGAATATTTTTTCCCCTAGTAATAAATCATAGTAAATTATCAGGACTATTTCAACCCTGTCAACCATGAAGTCTTGCTTAATTTACTCTTATTCTGATATTTTATAAACTTTCTGATTTTTAAACAGTTTTCTCTATCTATATAAAACTACTTAATAATATTTACCTCATGACTTTAAATTTATTGCTGCCCACCTTACAGACTATATTAAATTGCAAGTATGGGTTAGATACAACCTGATTATGTCTATTTTCTTTTTGCTTGGTTCTTTAGAACTGCCTATTTCTTAGCAACTCAGAGTTTACAAAGTCAGTAAAAATGAGACTGTTGCCTGTCAGCACTTGCAGCATTTAAAAAACATTAGAAGAAGGCTAATTACAATAACTTGTAAAAATATTGCTTATGCTGCTAAAATGAATGGAAATTAGAATTTTGTAAGGTTCAGAGAAAGTGATCAAGAAATTAGGCCATGGGAGCAAATGAATAAAACTTGGGTATGGTCTGTACAAGAATCTTCCTTCTGGAAATGTATCATTTCCAATTGCTGACAAAATGAACAAAGAAATATTATTTCTATTTCATGGTAGTCACTTAACCCCCCTATTTTTCTATTGCAATGTTTCTGCAGGTTTCAGGCAAGCTGATAGGAGGAAAACTTTAAGAAATTATCTGTTACTAGTAAAATTGGAGCCAAGGATTCAAACAGGTCCATCCATTTAAGGCGTTTCATTGTGAAATAAGGAATGCTGCTTATGATCCTGTGCGTGACATATAGTACAGTCTTTAGTGACAGCTGATCCTGTGCAGAAGATCTATTCTGACTCTGGAGAAGAACAACAAAGAGGCTAAAACATATAAAGAACATTTGAAGGAACTGGGTATGTCTGGTCTAGTGAAAAGAAGGACTAAAGGTTACTTGATAGCAGTGTTGCAATATTTCAGGGGTTGCCACAAACAAGAGGGGTGTGTGTCAAGCTATTCTCCAAAGCACCTGAAGGCAGGACAGGAAGCAATGGATGGAAACTAATCAAGGAGCAAACCAACCTGGAACTAAGGAGTAATTTCTTGACAATTAGAACAATTAATCAGTGGAACAACTTGCCTGCATAAGTTGTAGGTGCTCCAAAACTGGAGCTTTTTAAGAAGAGATTGGACAATCATTTGTCTGAAATAGTATAGGGTTTCCTTCTTGAGCAGGGGTTGGACTAGAAGACCTCCAAGGATCCTTCCAACTCTGTTATTCTGTAAGTGAAATGTTTATGCGTAATCTGAAAAATTCTGGCACACCTTCCTTGTGGAATATGCCTGGCTGGCTACTAAAGCTTGTGAATAGTCTCAAAAAGCTTCTTCATTTTGGACAGAGTCTTTGTCCAACGGCCTCTTCATGCAATGCAACTCTTAGAAATGAAGTTGTCCCTCCCCTCTGCTTAAGTCAAGGTAGCCTCTTTTTTGGTCTTGGTTAGTATGTGCAGAAATCTTGTTCACAGAGACCACAAAGCAAGGGAAAGTGGAGAAGCTAGCCTTTAGCTGAAAGCTACAGGTAGTCTTCGACTTACAACTGAGCCCAGAATTTATGTTGCTAAATGAGAAAATGGTTAAGTGAATTTTGCCCCATTTTATGACTTTTCTTGACACATTTGTTAAGTGGATCACTGCGTTTGTTAAATTAGTAACTCGGTTGTTAAGTGAATCTGGCTTCCCTATTGACTTTGCTTGTCAGAGGGTTGCAAAATGTGATCACATGACCTTGGGACACTGCAACCGTCAGAAATATGAACCAGCTGTCAAGCATCCGAATGTAAATCATGTGACCATGGGGATGGGGCATCAGTCATAAGTGTGATACATAGTCATAAATCACTTCAGTGCCATTGTAACTTCAAACAGTCACTAAATGGACTGTTGTAAGTTGAGGACTGCCTGTATTACAATGGCAAGTTGCTTCAAAGAGGCCGTGGAAAGCAAAGCCACCCTGCGTTGTTTATCTCTGTGTAGATGTCTTGCTTTCAATGTTCAATCATTTATCTCCTGGCTTTTTCATTTTAGGTGAATCTAAGAGAAAGCACCTTGAGGGGACTTTTTATACAAAGCTTTTTCAGATCAGGAAGCATGACAAGCTGCAGAACTCTACCTCTCTACAACAATAACACTCAAATATATCATCATTGCATTAAATTAATAAAAAAATAAATAAGGTGTGGAAAGTACTGCCAGAAACTCAGTTTAGTTGGCAAATGAGTGAGTGTAAAATGAAAAAAAAAAAAAAAAACAGAAATGTTTCCCTTTGTTAATGCAAATCAAAGAGCTAGTAAGGAATATGAATTATTTCTGGCCTTTATGCCAGGTCAGATATTATTACATTTGAGAATGGTGGTTGCCAATTAACCCAAAACAGAAAAAAAAAATTCCTGCTGTTGTCATTGTAAAACTGATGGCACTGAAAAAATGAAGAAGCAAAATCAAATCCACAGTCATCTACGAAAACAATCCAAAATCTATAATTGAAAAAATCCTTTCTTTGGCTTTGTCCTTTATTTGAATTAGATTTTCTATTCAGATTTAGGGAATTTACATTGCATACTATTTTTTAAAAAATCTAACAATTCCGTTAGGATCATGGGTAAAATTAAAACCAGTATCATTAAAATCAACTTAGTTTACCATGAAAATTTTAGTGTAAAAGATGGTTTTGTCATTTTGCTGAATATTGATGAAAATAAGGACCAAATGCATTTCCATATCCATTCCAATGTGTACACGCGCCTACCCAGAGGTATGCATTGGTCAGAATTGGTATGTGTACATGTGTAAAGATGATTGATGGTGAAGCTGACAAACATAATCTTGTGATGAAAGCTCTGCCCACATGCATGTTAAAAAAGGGTGCTTTAATCAAACAGTTGTGACTGCCACTGTCTTAACTTTTCTGATTCCCTTTGTGGACATTGCTGTGCATCCCAAATTCACAGGTAATTCTTTGAAGAAAGAAATTCGTCTTCAGCAACTGCAGTGTTGAAAGCATATAGGGATAGTCTTGTTCTTTTCTTTATGCTACTGTACTTGATAAACAATCTTGTGAAGGTTTTGACAAGCATGCATAATTTATTGCCGTCAACATGCAAAAGACTTTCTCTCTCTACTCAGCAGACAGGCAGAAGCAGGTTTCTTGGAAAATACACAGAAACCTTTGCTTGAAACATTTCTAAATGTCTTAGACACCTCATGGAAGAGGAAGTGATACTACCAGCCCTTGGAACCTTACATTGACAAAGCTCCCTCCTCACTGAAATATCACACAAAGCTTGAAGAACATGGAGGAACCAACCTGATCAACCACTTTGGTATAGGCCTGGTCAGAATTTAGAGGTAAACCACCAGTATGTTTTTTAAAGGTCCCAAGACTTTTCTTGAATCAGATTAAAGCTCTGTGACAAGCTCCAAGTACAACAGCTGTATTTGAGAGCTCGTCTATACATTGCCTCTGTTTTTGGTCACAAATTCAATTCCTTTTCCAACGCTGGCTGAAGGATCCATTGAATTATATCCTGCTGGCTTAGATCCTGCATATTGGATAGAATAACAGCTTCCTGGCCGTATGGATGACATTTTGCAGCAGTAAGGAACAAATACTCTGGAGGATCAAACTTTTAAAGCAATCTCTGTCTGTGGGACAGTGCTCAAAAGTCACCTGATTTATCATTCACTCATCTAATGTGTCAAAGTTTCATATTTCCCTGGAAAGTAAGGTAAAAGAGAAAAGCACATGGAAATCTTTAATAAATGCAATTGTTCTAAAAGAGCTAGTGATTCATACACCATCTGGATAGTTCACTTGTTTTTTCAACAGGGTCAAGCCACATTTTCCAGGTAAATGTTGTCATTTGGTGTTAAGAAATTCCAGGCAATTAGGATTTTGTTAACAAAGATACAAAAATAGTCATGGAGGTTTTCAAAAGGAAATTAAAAATGAAAGCTATGCTTATTGTTGACTTTTCAGGTACCCACAGTATACTTCCTGATACATCCCTAGGTAGTACGACTCACCACCTAGGGTTGGAAGTATGGAGTGAAATTTAATCCCGTATCTTATTTTTCTTACCAATTTTAAGTCAATTTGCTGAGGGAATTTGTTTTCTTTCTAATGGGAGAAATTAGGAGAACTTTGTCAACTGCCAGCTTTTATAGACAACTCCTTTTGAGTTTGCCCACTCAAGCTTCAGCTACTTTATTATACCTTTAGATCAGACAGGCAGACATCAGATGTACTTATTTCTTTATATTTTTCCTCTACTTCCCAAATAATTTCTAATAAACATGCTTTTAAAAAGCCACACACAGAGACACAGAGAGATAAAGGGGGGAGAGGAATACAATGAATGGCACAACCCAGTAGCTAGCATTGTGTAGAAGAACATCTGCACTGTATATGGGCTTAGACCGTTTCAAGTTCAGATGGGAAATTCCACAGAAGATGGAGAATAAGAGGGCTAAGATCCTGAGGGATTTCCAGATCCAGACAGACAAGCAATGGTGGTGATAGATGTAGTGGTGCCAAGTGACAGCAACTTCAGGAAGAAGGAGTATGAGAAGCTGGAGAGGTACCAGGGTCTGAAGAAGGAACTAGACAGGATGTGGAAAGCAAAGTCCAAAGTGGTTCCAGGGGTGGTAGGAGCACTCAGAACTGTGTCTCCTAAGCTGGGAGAGTAACCGGTCCCAGGAACAACATTGGAGCTCTCTGTCCAGAAGAATGCAGTGCTAGGAAAAGCTAAGAGGACCTGAGATTGAGGAAAACATAGACCACCCATACGGGTGAGAAAGAAATTAATTTTTTTTCATTATAATTGATGAGTTGTGTATGTATATATATATGTACACACACATATACCACACACAGAGACACATCATCAATTATTATGTGTTAAGGAGACAAAAAATCACTCATCTTTTCAATCATTTTCTTATTTTCTAGCCCACTTTTCCACACAGAAGAGCAATGAAGGCACTTAAAATACAAATATGAAATTATTTTTTTAAAAAAACAACACAGGTAATATTTATCAATATATCAATCAAATCAATTAACTAATTAAATTTCTGGTGAAAGACATGCATCTTTACCAACTGGGTCACCGCTGAGATAATGGCTTCTAAGCCCAATGGTCAAGGAAGGCATGCATTGCATAGCCTGTGATGCAATTTATTTATTTATTCAATCTCAAACAAGTGAGAGTTATTATTAAAAATAATAACCCTTACTGAGACACTATCTTGATGTGATTGTGGGGAATAATAATAATAATAATAATAATAATAATAATAATAATAATAATAATAATGATGTTGGAAGGGACCTTGGAGGTCATCTAGTCCAACCCCCAGCTTAAGAATTAAGATGGGGGCGGCGTTTGATCACAAAGCTGGATCGCTTACATCCAGACAGGGTTGCTTCACAAGTACAACAGCCAAAGGCTCCAAGGCACTTGCAAGTTGGCGACCCGGTGTGGGTGTGAAACTATGGGCAAGGGGCACTGTGGGTGGTAGCTGTGGTTGGTAAGGTGTCAGGGCCGCTCTCATATGAAGTGATCCTGGAAGATGGTCGTGTGCTTCGCAGGCACATTGACCATCTGCAACAGAGAATAGCAACCCAGCCGCTAGCTCATGACTCTGTTCAGGGGAAAGGGGAACACAATTGCAATCGTGCATCCGAGTCCCCAAACGAGGGTGAGGCTTTTCGATTGCCTAATGGGGGGTTTGCAAATGGAGAGACTGCCCCTAACTCAGGCATTTTGGCTAAGGGACAATGCCGTCAATCGGCTCCAAATGTCGGTTCGGTAGGCCCTACTCCACCGCGGGACACAGGCTCGGGTCTACCTGGTCAGACGAACAGAGCACACAACCCTGGTCTACCAAGCCTGGCAGGCGAGCTTGTAGACTGGGAGCTAAAGGGCAGCTCTGAGATGTTCAGAGCGGGTAAAAGGGCCACCGAAGTACTTAAATAACTACATAAGATTCCTGTCATTGTAAACTGGAATGCTTATGTAATTTCTTGCCATTGGAACAGTGTAATGTTTTGCACAAGGTTATGCCATTTTGCCATTGGAACAATTGTAATGTTTTTGCACAAACAGAAAAGGTTCTGTAAGTGTAAATGATCTAGGGGGAAGGGGTGTAATGTATTGAGTAAAGTCTGAGAATTAACATGCTTAGAACTGTGAAGAAATGGTTAGCTGGCCACGTGGCCAACAAGCCAGACTTTCTGTCTGCAGACTACTTATTATGCATTTAAGTGGGAAAATACTGTGCTCCTATTGGCTGCCGCTTTTAGGCTGAGTGTATAAGTATGGGTGGAGCATGTGGTTGCTAGTTTCGGTTTTGACTTTAAAATAAAGAGAGTTGTTTTTCACCTACTGCCTCTTCAATGTCGCATTGAACAGAATATTTAACAAGTCTCTTATTAAAAACTTCCAGTGTTGGAGCATTCACAACTTAATTGTTCTAACTGTCAGGAAATTTCTCCTTAGTTCTAGGTTGCTTCTCTCTTTGGTTAGTTTCCATCCATTGCTTCTTGTCCTGCCTTCAGGTGCTTTGGAGTATAGCTTGACTCCCTTTTCTTTGTCGCTGCCCCTGAGATATTGGAACACTGCTATCATGTCATCCCTCCTCCCTCTCTTCATTAAACTAATTTACCCAATTCCAGCAACTGTTCCTTATATGCTTTAGCCTCCAGTCCCCTGATCATCTTTGTTGCTCTTCTCTGTACTCTTTCTAGAGTCATAACATCTTTTTACATCATGGTGACCAAAACTGGATGCAGTATTCCAACTGAGGCCTTACCAAAGCATTGTAAAGTGTTATTGACACTTCACATGATCTTGATTCTATCCCTCTGTTAATGCAGCATAGCACTGTGTTGGCTTTTTTGGTAGCTGTAGCACACTGCTGGCTCATATTTAAGTGATTGTCCACCAGAACTCCAAGATCCCTCTCACAGTTGCTACTATTGAGCAAGGTACCACCTATACTATACCGGTGCATTTGGTTTTTCTTGCCTAAATGTAGAACCTTACTTTTTTCACCATTGAATTTCATTTTGTTAGATAGCCCAATGTTCACGTTTGTCAAGATCCTTCTGTATCTTAAGCCTGTCTTCTGGAGTGTTGGCTATTCCTGCCAGCTTGGTGTCATCTGCAAATTTGATGAGTTCTCCGTCTATCCCCTCATCCAAATCATTGATGAAGGTGTTGAAGAGCAGTGGGCCTAGAACAGAGTCCTGGGGCACCCCACACTCCCCTTCATGTAGATACAGTTCCATTGCGGACCACATGCTGAGTACGGCTGGTGGTGATGCTATCTAACCCATATTTTTCTAGCTTAATGATTTAATATTACAAATCAGGTCCAGCAAGAAGAGGATGTCAGAAAAAATGTACCAATCCTGAAAAGCATAACATTCAGAATCAGATATAATAGAACAGGGCTAGCAGATCAACAGTTCTGTTCTGATTATTATTGTTTATCATAGAAGTAGAATTGGAAGAACTGCAAAGCTCTACTTAGAGCAAAGAAATTAAAGTCGTACCAGAAGTAGCTCAGGCAGTAGAGACAAACCAGGGGGAGTCAGTAGTAGAAAAAGCTGGCATCTCTATTGAACCATTTTCATTCCCAAACA